CAGCCCTTAGCCGGGACGGGGGTGGGGCGGGGACCCCCCCGCCTGCGGTGGGGTTATTGACACGGCCGCTAAGGAAAACACTGCTGAGATTGTTCACACTAATGTTATTTAGCAGCAATATTTCCGTAATAAAAGAAATCAATGGGCAAGAGAAAAGACCTGTCCAGAGCTTTGATTTTCTCATTTTAATGGCATACTTATTTACTCCCACCACCGTGCCCATCAGATTTTCATTACGCGGCCTTCGCTGTAAGTGGAGCGGTATTGATACGAGCTGCTGAGTTAGCGCCTTCCCGCGCGCGCCGACGCAGGATTACTCATATTCCTCGGCAGGCCTCCTGCTAAACCCGCGGGGCTGGAGCTCGGGCTGCGGGGCCGCAGGGGCTGGCGGCCCCACTGGGCTGCTTGCGCGCACGCACGCCCTGCGCCTACGCCCTGCGCTTACCTCCCGTGCCCTTTCGGCACGGATGTGCGCGGCCCTGCCGTGGTCCGTGCAGCCGGTCCCGGCCATGCGCACCTGTGTGCATGCGTGCACGTGCTTGGGGGGGTGCGTGTGCGTCCGGTTATCCTGCTGTCCACACGCTCGCGGCCCACCTTGTCCCAGCCCCGGAGGTCACTGCCTCGTTGCGCTCCTTATGGGGACACCGCAGCGGAGCAGCATCATGCAGGCTCACGCCCGTGACGGCACCCACCAGCGTGGCACAGCCATCGGCATCAGCCACGGGGCAGATGGGGAAGGCGGTGACAGCCACGTCACCGTGGGGGGGCCGTCAAAGCAGATAGGGAGAGTTCGTGGCTCGGGCTGAAAATGTAGGGTCTAGCCCAGCCAGAACGGCTCAGCTCTTACCATTTGGGTCCATTTCCCCCTCCTTGAGTCTGCCCCTTCCTCAGGGTCAGTTTGGACATGGACCAAAGTGGCCCGACCTGGGAAATACTAAGTGCCTCTGAACTCATCCCCGAGGAGCCCCTCAAGTCCCCTCCAATATGCACATTTTTTCCAGTGTGCTTTGCCCAAAAGGCCTTGTCACACGGCAAGGCTGCTTAGGACGAACAGCTCACTACACCTGGGTCCATCACAAATGCAGTCAGAGCATCGCCCAGGGATGTACGCCAGGGGGAGGCCCCAAACCGGCCCCCAGTCAGGCACATCTACACTGCCAGCTGGCATCGGCCACTCTGCCATGGGCACTGTCCCCCGAAGGACGGAGCTTCCCAGGCTCCTGGGTCCCCAGTGGAAACACAGCCGTGAGGGCTAGCTAAGGCTTTCAGGCCTGAGCAGCTGCGGTGGAAAGAGTAACAGCACCATCTCCTGCCGGCTTCTGGGAGCGGAGACGGACCCGATCCTGCCCAGCACCCAACACCTCCCGGCTCCTACGGCCCAGGGCAGGACCTGCTGCAGGGGCTCAGTCAGGCACCTGGCTGGGCTGGTGGGGGGACGCTGAGCTCTTCCCAGCCACCAAGGGCACCCCTTGCTCAAATGCTGAGCCAGGAGCATCTGGACTGACCTAGCGCCAGTCCTGCATCGCAGGGAGCCCAGCACGCTCCAGAGACTCTCCCAAGAACCCAAACCGGTCAGATGAACATGTTTATTACTGACATCTTTTCTCGGGTGGCTAGTTTAGAAGTAGCCCATGTGCGGGGCTGCTGGTTGGCGGGACGAGGGTGGTCTGAGGAGCAGGAGGAGGGACATGCTACAGGCCTGGTGGCCGGGGTGGACACGTTACTTTGGGAACTGCACTGAGGTTAAAGCCCTCCACCAAGCAGCGAGCCCAGGACCTGGCACCCTGCATGGGCTGCGGGCACGAGGACTGCGAGTGGGGCGTCCGCACCCCCCGGCAGGGCTGAGGGAGCGTGGCCAGCTCGGAGCAAGGCCAGGCTCTGGCTGCCGGCAGGAGGGGATGCTCAGAGTGGCTTTCACAGGGCGCCCAGCACCTCTTCCTGCGTTTCAGTGAAAAACCTGCCGTGGCAGCCACTACGGG